GCGGGGGCTACGGGGGGCTGATGGGAGTTGTAGTCCAAACCGGGGAGGGGGTTGGGGAAGAAGACGGCGGAGGGAGGTTGCGGGGGGGGCGCCTTGTTCAGGGTAACCCCCCCAAAAAAGCAGAGGCTGAAAGGTGGGGGGGCTTCCATCCATCCATCCATCCATCCATCCACCTACCTACCTACCTACCTACCTACCTACCTACCTACCTACCTACCTACCTACCTACCTACCTACCTACCTACCTACCTACCTACCTACCTACCTGCCTGCCTGCCTGCCTGCCTGCCTGCCGCTTCTATCTGCCTGCCTGCCTTTCTACCTATATGTCTGTCTACCTACCTACCTACCTACCTACCTATCCATCCATCCACCCACCTTCCTACCTACCTGCCTACCTACCTACCTACCTACCTACCTTCCTACCTACCTATGTCCCAGTCACCCCCTCTATACAGTATTTAATTTGAGCTTTCATGGGTTACGCCCACTACCTACCTACCTACCTACCTACCTATGTCCCAGTCACCCCCCTCTATACAGTATTTAATTTGAGCTTTCATGGGTTAAGCCCACTTGAGAGAACAGGACAAATATTTATACCTGGCATCAAAACACAGAGACCGTTATCCCTGCGCAAGGTGTATGCCTGTGGCTTGGCCTGCATGGATATCCTGCAATTCGTGCATTCCCGTGTCCATCCATGGACAGGATCCTGAGTCGGAAAGCCGAGTTGGAAAACATGCCTGGTTATGCTTACAAAGTCCCAGATTCCTCCAGCCTGTTAGATATTATGACATTCAAGGTTTGTGTCCATTAAGATCTCCCCCATGACTACAGTATCTTAATGTCTGCTCTTCCTGACCACCGGCAGGGTCATGAAATTGGAAATCTTCCTATTCCAGATGAGAATGGTCAAAATCTGGGAGCTCCGAGTCCAGGAAAAGAAACGTTGTCGGCCTCTGGACGAAACAGGTCTCTTCTTACAAGCTGAAAACAGGCTGTCTGGTAAACAAACCTTTGCATGTTGTTTTGTTTTTTAAACCTGGGAGGTGTTGGGCTCGCTGGTGGAATTCACCAAGCCATTACAGTCCAATGTTTAGGCACTGCTCACTAGCTCTTTGTTCATTAATGCAACTACAGTAAAAATCAAGGGAGTTTGTAAATTCAAGTGAAATGGAGGCACCCCCATTCTGCAGACCTTAGAGGCTGTCGGTTTGCTTTTTCTGCAGCAACACCAGCGTTGTGGAACCCATGCCCCTAAAGAGAGAGATCCCACTGGTTTTAAGCCAGGGATGAGCCCTTAAGCGCTTGGTGGGAAGGGAATGTGAGCCACAATGACACAACTGCTCGAACCCATTCAAACGTTTAAAGGGTTATATCGCCAGCTGAATTTTCAAAGGGGTTGCGAGGCTCCCCCACATCTCCAGGCAGGGAGAGACATTTCAGGGTGAAAGCCACTGATATACACGGGGTGCAGATGTCGTCTTCCAGAGGTGGTTGACCTGTAACTTCGGTTAGTCTTCCTATGGGTGGTTCTGGCTAGAAGTGACAAGAACCACCGTCCAACAGCAGGAGGGGGGTGGTGGCATACTTTCTCCAGCCCTATTATACCAAAAAAGCACAAAACAAGGACAGAGAGTAACACATTTATTATCAGACCACTAAAAGTTCAGAAACAGACAAGCTTTTGAACCCTGCAGAACTCTGTCGGAACAGGTATTCTGGACAGGGAGGGAGAAAAAAAGAAAGGGGGTGGATGGGAGTCCAAGGATCATCTCAATGCTGTAGTTAAACCAGAATTCCAAGATGGAGCTACAAAGTTAAAAAGAATCAGTTTTGAGGTATCCGGTTTCACTTCAGAGGATGTAGAGTAGACATGCTTACGGTATAATACAAAATTTTGTAACAAATCTTTATATATCTTTTAAGGACAAGTTATACAATAAAGTAGAAAAATGTTAAAACAATGCAAGGGACTTTAAAAACAAGCCAAGTGAAAAAATTTTCTGCGCTTTCTTTCTCTGTGGCGGCAGGCAGTACAATAAAGGACAATCTGGCCGCGCAAGCTAAGGCCTCCGTGTTTCTCCTAGTTCCACTATTATTCATTCACGGCAGTTTTCCAAAGCATATAGCCCGTCGTCCAGTTTAGCCGTCAGTAGGATCCAGCTGCTTGTATCCCCATCCCAGTCTTGGTAAATCAAGTTGTCAAGTGAAAGTGATGGTTTTCCTTTTCCTCACTTTTTCTGACAGACTGCACAACCGGATGTGCTAATTTACAGCCACCCGTGCTGGTGGGACGCTATGCAAGGATTGTGATCTTTCTGAAAATAAATGGCGCTTTTGTACATTGACTCTTGAGTATTCTGCTGGTTATGGACACACACAAAAATCACACACCCCCATCGGCACCGCTGTAGTGTCGGAGAAAACTGCTTTTGGGGTTTCTTGAAGTGCAGTGGTGGAAACATATCTGGAAGTATGTTTCATGTGTCCCAAGCTAATGGTTGGCCTTTCCAGTCAAAGAACAAGATTAATCACACCCACTTTTGACCATATTTTGCAACGAGATAAAGAACTGTTTATGATACAATGGTACACCACCCAGAGAAGACACACCTGTGACACTTTGGGTAGACGATTTGGGAAAGAACCAGTCTTACAGCGTGAACATCCTGCCCCTCATTCATTTCTGCATACAGTGAATATTCTTAGAAATTAGGTGAGAATACCACCAAATTGCACCAGGAGCTCACAAGAAATTGACATGTGTAGGCCACATGTGAGAATCTTGTGAGCCAAAGCAGTTCTACAGCATCTCATAGGTTATGGATATGGGTGTAGGATTGGGGGTAGTTAAACTTAAGCTTCAGATGCACATCCTCCCCTTCCTTATTTGTATGTATTTTGGGTATTGTTGGTACAGGTTTGAATGGCTGGCCCTGTCTTGCAACTGTCCAAATTAAATGTTGAGAAAGAATGACTGTAGCACAGTTGATAAAGAACCCTCCATTGTGCAAAGTCTTCGGCAGCCCGGATGTTATAGGACATAAAACTGAAGTCCCATCGTCATTTTTTGAGAAGTTGGCTAGAACAGATTTCAGCATCGTGCTGAAGAGCCTCCTGGATCTCCTAGAAGACTGAGCCAGACTGAAACAGCTGGATCTTCAAAATGGAGGTTTGGATGCATGGTTTGGGGTGGCCGGCCATTTATTCCAAGGGTACATCAACACATACCAGTTCTTTATTCATGATTTGAGCTCAAAGAAATTGATGTGTATGCCATGTGTGAGCATCTTGTGAACCCAAGGGGTGCTCTGCCAGACATGAGGCTACGGGATCCCATGGACACCCTTTGCTGGAAAGCCAGGTCCCTTATCAACAGCACCAGATCCAAACACTGAAACCAGCTGCAGAGTAAAATACTCCAACAGGCTATTAAGGAGCATTAGATTACCGTATATTAGATTGTTTTACCTGGCAACCCGCTTTAATGAATACTATCTCTTGCTATTGGTTTTTGAGGTTTCTACAAAGAGCCTTGTGGCACAATGGTTAAAACGCTGTACTGCAGCTAAAACTGTGCTCACGACCTGGGGTTCAAATCCCAGGTAGCCGGCTCAAGGTTGACCCAGCCTTCTATCCTTCCGAGGTCGGTAAAATGAGTACCCAGCTTGCTGGGGGACCAATTAACTTGTAAACCGCCCAGAGAGTGCTTGTAGCGCTATGGGGCGGTATATAAATCCAATAAATAAATAAATAAATAAATTCTAAGGGTATTTTGTATGCCATTTTTGTGGTTGTTTCTGTATGACTATTAATCACCGTGAAGCTCAAGGAAAGGTAGGATGCACATTTTGTTAGTTCAGTAAATTATTATAAGCTGCAATGCCATAATCTATGGCTCATATTTTTGGCACTCATTGCCACTAAATCATTATCTTAGCTTCCTTATGCAAGCAGACCTGTGGGATGAGAAATGCTAAGAAAACAAAGCATCAGTTCATCAAATATTTTCACACAACAGTACCTCACATGTTGTGATATCCAATGCCTATGGGGATCGTGCACAACTGACAAGCACAGCATGACAGAATCCACACCAAAAGGTTCATTCTATCCACCGAACGTCCTTAAATCTCTTTAATAAATCCACCGGCTATGAAACAGTCACACGTTCAGGACCAGAATCTGAAAAGTAATGTCTCCCAGTCCCCAAACCCATGTAAACTAACTTGGGAGTAAACCCTTCAATATCATATTGTTAAGAGAGAACTGCAGTTCCATTATCTCTAGACCGTGGCAGCAACCGAAACACAACCTAGAACAAAAGTTGACACAAACTTTCATATCCCTCAGAAACATTTTCTTCATAGG